TTTTAGCAGCCTCTTCTCACTCGTCTTTTCCCAATGATTTGAGGCTCTTTTAGGGTCAGGGGAATGAGACCTATTGTCGTTACTGTATTTTGCATATCGAATACACCACAGGGAGCTTGCCAGACTCTGCCCCTATGGACGAGATACTCTGGATAGCTTGCTGGGCTCTCTGAGAGGCATAAATGGGTAGGAAGGGTCTTATAATGTGTCTTGCGGCTGCGCAGTCCAGAAAGCAGCCTGGATTGTGGAGGTGGTTGGGCAGTGGAGGTCGGCTGCTGGGGTTGGGTCCCTTGGGGTGGGGAGGGCTCTCACCCACCCCACAGCCTGGCACAGAGTCCCTGTAGCACTAAGAAATACATTGTATTTCTGAATGCTACCTTCAGTTTCTCTTGTTATACTTCATTCAAAGTGGACCCCCACAAGTCCCATTGGCTGGGGGGAAGAGGCTCACACCCAACAATGCTCAGGGCTTATCCCTTGCTCTATGCTCAGAGATCATTCCTAGTGGGACTTGGACCATATGGGATGCCAAGGATCAAATCCAAGTTGATTATGTGCAAGGCAAAAGACCTACCCACTGCCCTACTCGTTCTCTGGCCCCTCTACAAGTCACTGATATTTTCTGTGGACATTCCTACAGCCTAACTGACCCCATGGAAGCTTAAACTTCACTGCCAGTTTCAAGTGGTACTCCCCACCTTGCCCCTGTTGAAAGGGGAGAATATGAAAATATGTTTTGCTTATGAAAACATTGTTATGGGGACCTCTTACTTCACTGTTACAATTACTAATGCTGTGTTCTACATCCAGGTGGACATTCCCTTTCTGAAACTTTTATTTAGACAATGCTATTATTCCTTGTGGGAATTGCACAGCCAAGTCCACCCTCTAGAGGGTCCTTTGTATTTCTGTCACACATTCTCATTATGGTCACACTTTGCATATGCCACAATATGCAGCAATACAGAAACTTGCTCAAACAGGCAAAAGTCCCATTATTCAGCCGTAATTTCCCATGAATGTACTACACATTTCTAGACATGGCAATGAAGATAGGGAGGGGCATGGATTAAATAAGAGATGGAAAGATATAACTATTAAATGAATGAAAAAATCTTAAGGTGTAAGAGGAATCAGTAGAAATTTAAATACGTGACAAAAATTCAGATTCCCCCACATTGAAATATAGGCATGTGTATGCTACAGTTAAATATAGTGACTTTTGAATTGTATACCTTCTTAAGATTGCTTAGCATTAATTCCAAAAGTTCAGGTTATTTGAGACATTTGGGGGGAGTTGGGGTTTAGGTTATGCCCAGCAGTACTCAGGGCTCACCTTTGACTCAGTGCTCAGTGATCACTCCTATGCAGTGCCAGGAATGGACTGAAATGGGCTGTATGCATGGCAAATGACTTAACCTCTCTTCTATCTCTTAAGCTCAGACTTTCTTTTCTACTTGCTACCTGCTAGAACACTGCTTTGAACGTAAGACTTTTAAGTTGTTTATATATAAGAACTGATGATGCAATCATGGTAATAATCCTGTGAGAATTTCCTTTTCATATCCAGAACTCAAATGGAACAAGTAACATAAGTTGAAATGTGTTGTCTAAAATCACAAAGCATGTGATCTCACTCCCAGAGAGCTTTGATCCCAACACAGTTCAACTGTCTTGGAATGTAAAGCACCAGAACGTTTCCCAACAAGTTTTGGGAAGATCATGACTGAGGCTTCCAGCATGATAGAATGCATGAAACTACTCACTTGCCTCGGGCTCAATTCAATGCCAGGTAAAATGTGTTTCTCTAGGAGCATGCTCCAAGGGTTGATTTTCAAGAATTCTGATAAATCCTCCATCTGTGGGTTGAAAAGAATATGGTGTTAGAGAATGCATTCCAGCTGTTTCCTAAGTGTGAGCAGAAGACAGAATAAGAACTCACCTATCTGGTCCATTGCCCACGTATTCCTTTCCTCACACCTGTTTGTGCCTTCACAGAGTTTCCTCTGTGTGATGAGAGCCAAGACTGGCTATGCAGAAAACATGCCAGTGACTCTCTAAATTTGCCTAGAAGCTCTCTTTGAAACAGTCTAGAACTTCAAGCACTACTTCGACTCTCTCTAGAAAGTCTTGATTAAACAACTTTTTTTTCTGCTAAAAGAAAAATTTTGCAGTATTTTCTGACTAAAAGTGTACATTTGATTTTTTTCTTCACTTGCCAAGGCTACTGGTATCTCCTTGACACATGTGTATCTCACCAGGGTTAGAATTCTTGGACTCTTGATGGCTGGGCAGGTGCTTTCAGCCTCTAGGTCATGTTCCCAGCCTCTAACAAATATTCTCCAGTGGAATGAAAGATGCAAAAGATAGTTATTTCTATCTTGTTACTATCCTGCCTGAAGTCAGGTCCTGTATTGGTTAGCAACATTGAAGCTGGTAGGTTGCATACTCGTGTATCTGGTATTGTAAATAACAAGATAAACAACACAGCTGCCAACCTAAAGTAATCTTACAGTGAAGGGGTGAGTGGCCCAGGAAATTTGCTCTTTGTCATTTTGACTTGAGTTTGAAAATGGACCTGGGCTACATTCCAGCTCAGAGAGCCGTTGCCTTCCAAAGGCTCCTAAACTGTCCCAAGAAACTCGTTCTGGCAGTGGAGTATTTGTGTTTGGCTGAGCATCCTAATAGCAAAAGCTGTCTTCCCTGGCAAGCTAGGGCAATGGCAGCATTTGAGTCCCATCCCCAGTGATCACTCTTGATGAGGCTTTCTGAAAAGCAATCCCCCCATCCCTCACTGAAGGAACAGCACCTGTCTTGAGCTCAGAAGTTGCTTTTCATGACAGGTACATCTTTAGGAATCAGTGGCAAATTTTGAACAAACAAGATCCAAGTGGCACATGTTTCCGCAAACAGAAATTGTCCGGAGAGACCAAGTTTTCCTGTGCAGGAGATGACAATTACTGGATGAGAAGAACTAACTGCTTAAGAATGGAGGGTTTGGGGTCAGGAGATAGCTCACAGGCTAGAGCAGATGCCTGGCATATATGAGGCCCTGGGTTTGATTCTCTGGACTATTCCCCCGGCTCTTCTGGTTGGTGCCCTAGTGACAACCCCCCCCTCCCAGTACCACTGCCAGGAGTGGCCTCCGGGCTCCCTGAGCACTGCTGGGTAGCATTTCATTTTGTGTACAAAGACCACTTTTACCAGTTAGTCCTCTGTTCCTGGCACTGACACTGTTTCCAGATCATGGCTATTGTAAGTAGGATCACGGTAAGCATAGGACTGCAAATGTCTTCTCAAATAAACAATCTTGGGATCTTGTGGTAAATACCAAGAAGTGGAATCTCTGGAGCGTATGGAAATTCAGTTCTTAATTTGGAAGATACTTCCATACTGTTTCCCAGAGATGTTGAACCAAATGACATTTCCACCAACAATGGATGCAGGTTCCTTACAACTCTCCCCCTACACACACACACGCACACACACACACACACACACACACACACACACACCTGCAGGCACTGGTTGTTTTTATTCTTTTGAATATAGACCATTTTCTCTGTGTGAGATAATATCTCATTGTCATTTTATGTTTCCTTGATGATAATGAAGAGCCCTTATACTTATATCTAAGTATCTTTATATCTGTATATTTACGCACCTTATGTCTCCCATTCTTGTCCCACCCAAACTCTGTCCATTAACATCTACTGTCCATGCGTCTGAAGCCCCGCAGTACAGAGTAACCTGCATGTTCCTTAGTATATTTATGCTGTATGTTTTTGTGATATATGGACCTATGTTCCTAAGTCATTTTAAAAAAGAAAACAGTGATCCCAGACCATCTGCATTAAGGGTCTGTCTCCCTTAAAAAGAGAAATCTAAGATCTTTTTATACAACCTGCACATTCATTCAGTTTTTGCTCAGTGCTCATTTAGTCCTTTGCCTTTCCAGGGACTTGACCTGTTTTGAACACAGGAGAACATTGATTCCTGTCCTCCAGCAAATGCTTCCCAGATACACCCCACACCCCCCACCCACACACACACACACACCAGAATGCATCTTCCTTCTGAATTCAAGTTCTGAAGTCAGTATGGGTGTGACTCAGATCCCTTCTGCTTCCACCATCACTTATGAGGGTTTTTTTTGATAGGTTTCCTTTCTTTTTATTCATTCAATTGACAAATACAATTATGCACAGAACAGAGTCCCCACCCCTATAAGACTTATAATGTCCAATAGATATGTACTATGAAATAAACCTCTGAACTGCAGTTCAAATTCAGGTCACATGTAACACAGACATATATAATGTCAAAGAGTTTTCATGTCTATGAAGAAAAGCTGATTTAAAATGATAGAAAGTTTCAGGGTGCTAAATTTTTTGTGGAAACATTGCATATATTTTACATACAGAGTCCTACCTGTCTAGAGGTATGTGATCACCCCACCCCACCACAGGTTGCAACTTTATAGACAGTTGATTAGATGAGGGTGAGGGACAGGGGGAGGAGGGTAATACCAGCTGATTAACTGAGACAAAACTGCCTGATAGAGACATTTTGCAAAGTGGGTCTCCAAAAGGCAATGTGCTCAGTAAATAATAAAATGAGAGGAACTGTCAGCCAAAATAAATCCTGTTTTCAGGACAAATGCCAGAAGCATGACCGTTTGGTTCCATTTGGGGTCTTCCTTTGAGATCAGGGTGAAAATGAGACTGTGATGTCGCTGTGGACAAGTGCCTGTGTGTGACAAGAGCTTTGCTCAGACCTGTGACATCCTCAGCTGCTCCAATTCTGCATTTAAAAAGGCCTATGTGTGTCTTATCACCAACTGATAAAACTTGTCTATGACCTTTGGTTTGTTTGGAGGAAATTATGAGAATTTTTTGTGTGGGCAAATGCTACCTGTCTAGCAGTTTGGCAAAGTACAAGTTATAATGTCAAAAATGTAAAATCAGTAAGAACTCATGGTCATCTGATCTTTCTCCTAGGATTTCCAAACTGTGCTACAATCTTTTGAGCTCTTCTCCAACTTTGGAAAATTGTATTCAAGAGCTGGATCAATTATATAAAGGTATGGATCTTTTCTAAGCATATGTTAAAATTACATCTAAAACTGCAAATTATTTGCTTAACTAGCAAACCCTTTTAGAACCAAGCTATAATAATATTTATACACGATGAAATCATGCTTTGTTCTTGTCTAATGAATCTTCAACATTCAAAAATCATTTATTTTGCTTTTCAGATATTTTCTACAAAACATACATAGTGGTAATAGAACTGGCAAAAGCCTAACATACCTCGTCTCTCTAATTAATACAACAGAGTTCTACACAATACAATAAAAATATTGATGATGCCCTGAAGCGAAGCTATTTCTCAATACTGTTTTATGTATTAAAGCTTAGAATACTACATTTGTGGTATGTGTTATTTGTTATGTGAGTTGTCTTTGAGGAGTCTGAAAAGGTAGATTTTAGTGTCTCTGACCATCCGAGTTTGCAACATAGAGAAGAACTGAGATACCCAGGTAAGCTCTCAGGGAATATTTGGCTTAATTGCTAAGGTGTTTTAGAATAGGTAGGTGATTAAGGTCAGAACTAGACCTATTTTCGGCCAAACTGAAAGTTAAGTATTGGGTGAAGACAGTAAAGAGCATTAGAATTGAAGAGAAAGAGGCAGGACTGAGAGGTCTGCATGATAGAATCTGAATCCCCAGCCAGACATTCTTACACATAAAGAATCTAGGGGAAAGTTCTGGTCCATGGACAGAGCAGAGTAGATTTCAGCTACACAGGTTGTTTTGGATAGATGGGTCTTCTTTCCCTTGTACATATTCTCATTCTTCAGCAAGTAAGTCTGGATATTTAATAAGGATAGCAATTTTTACCTTTAAGCTACTTCAAATAAAGTCATAAATGGAAATATGAAATATTCTGAGCTAATGGAAAAGTATATATAATATCCATTGGAATTAGCATCCCAGAGGTTTATAAAGAATCACTACCCACTGCAGCATTTATCTAATGCTTGTGATTCATAATATGAAGCTGTCTCAATAAAATTTTTTCTTCTTTGTGTGTGAGTTCAGATTCTAATGAAAAGCTGTGTCTTGTTTATAATGTAAAAGCTTGGAAACAACTACATTCCTCATTAATATAAGCTATGTTCATTAAGTGACACATAAAATACCTGCAATATGTCTCTAAGAAACAAAGGTTGGACTTTAAAGGAATGTGTGTAGTCTGATTCCATTAAAAAATGTGTCTGTGTTATATACGCACATATATAAAGTGCACATGTGTATAAAGAATACATTTGTCCAGAGCACCCAAAAGGAGAGAGAGAACAAAAGGGAGTGCCCTGCCACAGAGGCAGGGTGGGATGGGGGGATGGGGGTGGAACAGATACTGGGATTAGTGGTGGTGGAGAATGGGCACTGGTGGAGAGATGGGTAGTCGATCACTGTATAACTGAAACCCAAGCACAAAAATTTGTAAGTCTACAACTGTACCTCATGGTGTTTCACTAATAAATTTTTTTAAAAGAATACATTTGCACACGTATATTCACACACTGCAGGTATATGTGGACAAGTTTTGAAAAAATGTAATGGTCACGAACTGAGAAAGTGGGGAGCTTTAAAGAAGATACTTCTCTGCATTCTCATTCCTTGAAATTTTTATATCATCACACAAAAGCAAAGTGCTCAAATGAAATCCTTCAATAGAAAGATGGCTTGTTCTTCTTGCTGCCAACTGCAAAACAGCTTGACTTTATTCTATTTAATCATAATAATTTGAAACAATTATCTTGTTTTCATGGAAACAAAATAACGACTTGCTAAATTATTTATAAGACAAGGATGAGTAACAAACGCTCTGCACTGCTTTTAATTAAAAAGAAGGCACAATGAGCACAACCAAATGTGCGACATATTTTGGGGGGCAGAGTGGGGTAAAGATTTGTTCATGCTTGTATTCTTCAGTATATTTTAAATGTAAAATATTCTCAAAAACATCGTCACCTCTTAGAAGGGAAAGTCATGCCTTCTCTTTCATTTGGATAAGTGAAGGATCACAGGCTTAGCTGGGTCTCTCCCATTAAGATTTAATTTTGCCAAGTACAACAAAGTGCTCCCCACTCTTTGTTAAGCAGACTGAGAGGGGGACAAAGTGTTGAATAAAGATGCCATAGTAATTTTTCCAGCTATCTATTTGATTGCTCCAGCCTCGACGCAGTTCATCACTTCCCTGTAATTCACCCGACATTGCCTCTCATGCCCACACTGCGTCTTCCCATCAACCCGATTAGAAAAAGCAAGACCCTTATCAGATTAATCTTTCTTTCTTTAGCATGTCTGAGTTTGGAATAAACAGGGCCTACCCCTACCCTTATTGATTAATGCACCCTGGCTTCAGCCACTGAAATTGCTCCAAGTGAATTAGATTTTAAACACACCCATATTTTAAAGCTTTCTCACCAACAAGGAAACTCTGCATCCCTTTAATTTCTCTCATTTTCCTTGGTCACTGGTCACTTTCAGAACCTTGAACAGTTAGTTTTCCAGTGCCCTGAGTCCAAATCAGAATCCGCTCAGGCCAAGTAGGTGCTTTGCCTGCTCTGTGATTTGGTCCTTTTTTTTTTTTAATATCAGAGCCTCTTCAGAATTAGGGTCCTTGGGCCATACAGATAGTACAGATGATAGGACATTTGTCTTGCACATAACGGACCCAAGTTTGATGCCCTGACCCTTCCCAGGAGAAATCCCAGAGCTCAGAGCCAAGACTAACCCCTGGGCACTGCCAGTTGTGGCCCAAAAAAAACCAAATGACTATAAAAATTAGTGATGAGAAAGATGAGCACAATACAGTGGAATCAATGTTTTTATTTTTACAAATTGGATGATGGACCAAATTCAGTCCATGTGAGCTTTCTTCCAAAGATGAGATTTTCCCAGAGGTGTGTCAGAGCAACTGATTTGAGTCTAGAGTGTCTTTTTGCTGAAACGCAGTTCAGTGTTGCTGCCAGATGAGATGTCTTTGAATTAAATTCATTTTTATGTTTGAAAAGCAAAATTCTGTTATCATCTGGTAAGGAGGCAAAATTTCATTGTCTTCTCACTCCTTGGCAAGTGTAAGGAAGGGGTGATATCTGAGAAGAAAGCTCCTAAGCACGTGTATGGAACTAAGTACGTGTCTGGGAGTGGTTACATTTTTATGGGTTTGTTTTTGTGTTTGGTTTGTTTGCGGGGCAAACCAATGATTCTCAGTGCCTGCTTCTGGCCCTGTGCTCAGGTATCATACCTGGCAGTGCTCAGGGGGTCATATGTGGTGCTGGGTTTCAAATCAGGATCAACCGTGCAAAAGTCAAACACTTTAACCCCTGAACTGTCTCTCTTGCCCAGAAGTTGCATTTTCAACTTGGTAAGAAAAATGATAAAATGTTATCATTTAGTTGGGTCATAGTGAATTTGGGGGAAAACAAAAATCCAGGTATCTTCAATATCTTTCTCATAGTTGTATGAAATTTTACACTCCACACATACCAGGTAAGCACTTGACTGCATTTCTCTGTCCTATGGTGTTGGCTGAACATTCTGACTAGTGGCTCCCACCATTGTGGGAGCAGATAAGGAGATGATCCCTGACAAGCTAGAAATGAGAGAAAGACTTCCAGACTTCACTAAGCAAACTCTAGATACTAAGAAAACTCTAATGAGGAAAAGTTACAGAGAGCTGGAGGACATGTCTCTTTCTTCTTTCATTTTACTTTTTTGTTTTCAGAAAACATAAGAAAGCAAAATGAGCCATGATGGAGGACATGTCTCTTTCTTCTGTTGAATGGATACCCCCATTGCCTGGGTTCCTGGATTAGTGTTGAGTAAACACACAAATCTCTTAACTCAGAAGCCCCCAAAACCACCATTGTCTTCTCTGTCTCTGTCTCTCTGTTTCTCTCTCTCCTCTGTCTCTCTTCCCTCCCTCCTTCCCTCTTTTTCTCTTTCTTACTCTCTTGTCTATCATCTCTGATTCCAAAGAAAAAATTGGAACCATATGTGGTTTATTTGAAATAAGGATCTCACAGAAAATACACTTGAATACACTTAAACCATGCTTATTATGTATAACTCAATAAACTATAATGTTATACAGTCGGCAAGTCATGAAGTGGTCCTCGTGGTATAAATAAAGATGCCCCTGAGAATGCCGTGAAAACTGCAGACCCTGGTATAGGAAGTGACATAAGTAATACCAGGAAAGTACTTCTGCTGGGATCTGGATTAAGGAAATGAAGTCATATTACAGATCAGAAGAAAGAGTGGTTTGAGTAGATGTGTAGATGTACCAAAGTTTCTTTAACCAGTCATCAGTTCTCGGGCACTTGGGTTTTTCCATATTTCAGCTATTGTAAAAAGTGCTGCAGTGAACATATAAGTGCAGACATCTACACATGGAATACTATGTAGCTGTTAGATAAGATGAAGTCATGAAATTTTCATATAGGTGAATCAGCATGGAGAGTATAATGTTAAGTGAAATGAGTCAGAAAGAGAAGGACACACAGAAATATTGCACTCGTTTGTGGAATATAAAGTAACAGAATGGGAGACTAACTTGATTACCTGATCACTTGACTTCCCGTTAATCATTGATTTGTTCGAGCAGGCACCAATAACATCTCCATTTGTCCCTGTTGCGTGCTAGTGTAGCCCAATGGCGTCTGTTCATTCTAGGAACACGAAGAGCCTCAAACCGATCATTCAGGGTCTTGACAAAGAAGTCTGACCATCTGGTAGGTGGGCGGCCATGCAGATTTTTGATATCCCGTGGAATCCAGTTGGTAATGGCTCTAGTCCAGCGGTTGCCTCCAAATCTCATTACGTGTTCAGCCCATCTGATTTTTGATGCCTTGGCAAATGAGACAGTATTCCTGATTCTTGAGCGTTGACGGAGGTCAGAACTCCGGATTCTTTCTCTCACTTGAGTGAAACATGATACTCCAAATATAACTCCTTCAATTCCTCTTTGGGAGACCCGAATAGTGTTCTCATCCTGTTTTCCTAGGGTCCAGGTCTCTGTGGTGTATGTTAATTCAGGAAGAACAGTGTAATCGAAGAGATGTGCCCAGAGCCAGAGGTTCTTCATCCTCTTAGCTATATCTTGGACGCTCTTGAAGGCGTTCCAAGCCACTCTCTTCCTCCTGTGCAACTCAGGTGCAATAACCAAGCTCATTTAGGTTTCTCGGGAGTTCAAGATGGCGCTCTGACTAACATTCATTGATTTAAAGAAGGCCTTTGATTCTGTTGAGACAGAAGTAGTCATCAAAGCCCTAGCCAATCAGGGCATTCAAACTCAATACATCAGGATCCTTTGTGAGCTGTATTACGGATTCACTACCAGGATCTCACCATTCT